TGTTGTGAGGCAATTTAGTTTTTCATTTTTTTTTATTTGTCATGTGACAATATGCAACTGGTACTTTAAAATCATTTCTTTTTCTGAGGTCAGATATTTGTAGTTTAACTAAAAAATAATGTTTCTTGGAAATTTGAGATTTATAAGTTTTATTGATTAGTATCATCTTTAGACATCCGTCTTTACAACCAATATGGATACTTTGTTAAAACTTGACACTTCTTTGAAGTATACACGTCATTTTCCTGCTTTTAACTTGCTCATTATATTTATTTTCAAAGGCAAGAATTTTTACAAATCAAAGTTTTAATAAATTTGAATCTTGAAGCAATGCGTTAGTGTCAAAACTGGAAGTGCTATTGATAAATCATCTACCCGTGTAGTATCATCCACATGTATGAGATAAAAAATTTGTATACATTTATTTAAGGAATGCCTGGGAGCTGGATTTAAGTTACTTGTTAAAGAAGAGCCTTAATGGATATAGTGCTATAATGATAAAGTACGAGGAATCTATATACCTATAGATCTAAGGTCTCTGTTGGTAACACTGACAGTCATTCGATCTGATGATTATATTAGAGCAGGATGGAGTAGGATTTAACTACTATTGTCCATCCAGTTCAGTGATTGGGAAGGCCAAAAAGGTCAATGGGACTATGGCACAAGTGTAAACAATTTTAATGGGCCATTTTGTAAATTATTGGGCCATCAATACAATCTGAAGGGCCATTTTAAGAAATAACAAACAAATATAAAATACAAAAGAAAAACACGTTTTTAATTAACCGAATCTAATTTTTAACATATGTAATGCAGCAAAGTTATAGGAACCCGAAAAGAATATATTTTACCCGTATTTTGTGTTAAATTACGTCAAAATTTAGATTGATCACCAGTCTACCCTGCAAATGAATGAAGTCATGTACCTAAAAAGTGCTTCGTTTAACCGGAAGCAGTTCATGATGGGGTTTTAACCAATGAGATTTGTTGTTTTACAATTGACTGCATTTAAAACGAAAGTAAAACAAGTGAAATACGCAAAATATTTATAAAAATGAATGCGCAGCTGCGCCACCATTGATTGATTCAATGCGCCATTTTTCACTTCAATGCGACTATGGCGCGTGGCGCAAGCCCTTCCCAATCACTGCCAGTTTTATACAATGTCAGTATAATGTATTAAATTGTATGAGATTTGACTCTGGTTGCCTGTTTGGGGCAGTGGTCTGCTCTAGAGTCGCAAAGTAAGGAGTTAATCCTTATAATGATGGTTTGAATCCCACTATGGGACATGGTGACTGGTCCTTTAGATGAGTCTGTATAAACCGAGGTCCCGTGTCGCTGTAGGTGCTGGCATGAAAAAGATCCCTCCCTGCTCAATGGCCCTAATTGCCGAGTATAGAACAAAATTTGCAGCTCTCCACTGGCAAGTGTTGGCAACTCCATATGAATGAAAAAATCCTTGAGAGGGACATTATAAATAACAAACAAGCAAACAAAAATTTCACTCTGAAATATGGTGATCAATTGTTTGAGTGAAAGTTATATTAATAATCAAAAGTTTTTAAGTTTTTTTTAAGTCCATTGGAATGATACATACTGGGAGAAGGGTTAAGAGGGACCTCGAAAAACATCAGAGGTGGAATCAGGTGCCATGGAAGATTAAGCATCCCCTGTCATCTGTTGAATGCATGCACTGACACATGTTTGATGTAATCAGGGCAACTTCAACTGGACTTCAGTTGGAGAACTTTGAAAGTTTGATGTATTATAGAGATCGAGCAATAAGAGTTCAGATTGTAAAGTTGTTAAGTAATAAATCAAAAGTCAAATTAGAATGCAGTAAAATGGGATTGCATACTGGTATATTTTCTCAGATTGAAATAATGAGGGTCCAGTGCAGTGACTGTGTATAGTAACTGTAGATTCCTTATAATTTTACACAGGTTCTTAATGACCTTTTGATGTCAAATCCAAAAAATATGAATTAGCAAGTTGACCATTGATCAAAATCGAGTTTGCACAAGTGTTGTAGCACAAAAAAGAGAAATAAAGCATCTCATTTTATTTGGCAATTTTGCATCTCATGAAATAAGCTGTATTGTATTGAATTTCCTGGGTATACTTAGGAATCTTATACTGACACAAAATGTAAATTAATTAAATCTCACCCCCTATTTCAAAATGGCGTTAAAAGACTTCTAATCTTGAAAAGGAAACAATTGAGCTCTTGACACTGTAGGTTTTTTGATTTTCAAAATATTTGAAAATTATTTTTCCATAGTTTGTGAAAGTCATTATCATGCATGTATGACAACACTGTTGGAATAAATTTTATGACAAGGTTATTAATAAGAAATTTACTACAAAGGAAATCTGCTGCATTCACACTTATGGCCGCACGTGATTCAATAATCAATGATATATATTTGTAATGAAATCTAAAAGAAACTGTATTCAATAATCAGAACAATGCAAATAGCATCTTAATACTGTAAATAATCACTTTTGACGGCACCCTAATGAGGTCTTTATTTAACACTGTCAACATACCTTAGGGCAGTAACCTAGCTTAGTTACGAATCAATGTGATAGACCCTTTGTATTGAACACGAGAGGAAGTATATTTCACTGTTCTGCGTTGTTAAATAAGATATTGTATACATACATTTACAGTTGAATCGAGGTTTCTCAAACACTGATATCTCGAATACCATGGATAAGTCAAAGTGATTTTTCCAACCACTTGTGATTTTTCCAACCTGAGATATATCTCAAAGTTCTTTGGAAGATAATAAATTTTATCCCTTTATATATTGCTATTGGAACTACCATATATACTGGCCTATAAGTCGGTTGTATTTTTTGATGTTTTTTGGTGGGATTTGCTATTGACCCGCTTATATGTCGGTACAATTTTTTGCCAAAATTTGGTGACAATTTTAAGTAAATCTCTTGATGTTTTAACCTCATGGTTTCAATTAATATTTTTCAAAATGACAGATATTTTAAATTATTAAACAAAAAGGGCTCACTTTAAATATAATTAAAAGATTTTGTAAATACTTGTAGAATGCATAAATTACTTATATATCCATTTTCTTTATATATTGCTACATGTACCTTTTAGCCTCCAGAAAAATACCAATCTCTTTATGACTCGCATATAAGTCGGACATAAAGTTTTAGACCAATATTTAACTCCCAAAATACCGACTTATAGGCGAGTATATACGGTAGGCGTATTTCAGTCTATATATTAACTTACCGGTACACATCACATGATATCTAAATTCATTGTATAGTACATATATACAGGTATATATCCAATTTGATTTCTCATGCTATAAAATCACCAAATTTTGTGGGGTCAAATTTTCGAGGATTAATTGAGGAAAAAATATTAGTTTGTGGAAATATTTGGTTTTGTGGAGAAAGAAAATATTGTGTGGTTATGTATATATAAAGGAATTTTACATTTCGTGGTGGACATTTTGTGGGTCTCATTATACCTCAAAAACAACGAAAATTAAACCCCTGCGAAAATAAGTGATTTCACAGTAATTAACTGGTAACAGGTTTAATAATGGCTACATACATCTCTGATTTGATGATTTGTATGATTTAATTGCTTAGAATACATATCAATCTGATCATATGATTCATGATTTATGGGAGCTAAGCACAAAGATTTTAAACCAATCCAAACTGTGACAGAATTTCTGTGAAATTAATAAAACACGTATGGTGAAGCACGTACGTCACATATTGATTTCGACTTGTTAATAACGTCTTGCATGCGGCAAATATCTTTTTCAGTTGGACTTTTATTGTGCACCTGATGCAAAGAATTCCTTCAGGCAGCTTGTCATGATGTCTTTATTAAATCTGTCGTGACGGCAAAAGCTCAAGAATGTAAGCAATCGCTTCTAACGTGTCTAAGCAACTTTAGTGCGTCTTTAATCTTACAGCTCTTGTCATGGTGATTTTGCAGCTTCCATGAAGCACTAGATTACATAATGCAAGTCAATGCAATCTTGACTCTTTTTTTTTTTTTTTAACCTTTTTTGATCTTATGAGATGATTACGCAACTTTATGTTTTGTTAAAAGAACCTGATGAAGAACTAATTTTTTATATGAAACATACATTACAGATCATAAAAATAGTTACTTTTTTTTACTGTTTTGAATACATTGAAACTTGTTTTATTTCAGGACACCTAGAAAAAAAAATTAGCACCATTAATTAGACAACATCTTAAACATTGGACTTTTATAAATTAATGAAAATGGACTTTTCATATTATACAGTGTAAATCAAGATTTCTGAATACCCTAAGTTTAATTGTATACATTATTAGTTGAACAGATGGTTACAAGATGTGAAAATTGAAAATTCTGGATATAAAAACTAAAATGGCAGAAGGCAGTAATTTATATCATGATCAGCTGGAATATATATCATTGATGGACAGAATTTGAACAGTCGATCACTAACCTTTTGTTTTTCCAGATTTCTCTTACCTTTGATATTGTTGCAAGTGACATCTTTGCTATGAACATGAAGAATATAGCTTAATCATATAGAGGCCATTGATTGAAGAAAAGGATACTGACTCTATAAGCTTTTGTTGTTGTTTTGCAAAAAATAAAAAAAAGTAAAATTGGTTCCATCATAATAGAGATGATTTCCAATTTCTCTGATAACTATAGAATTATATATTGATTGCTTTGTTTTCAGTGTTTGATTCCATTTGACTTTTTGCGTAAATCTGATTTAGATCGAATTTAAATGTCTCACTCTAAAGGATTTTTGTTACTAAAATCAAAATTCTGCAATATGGCCATAACTTTGTCATTAATATTGTAAAGTTAACCTTCATAGATTTTGTTTATAATCAGTGTTCAATGGTCATACAATTTCAAAGTCAATTGTAGTACAGTAACTGTTATTAAAAAAAAAAAAAAAAAAATTTTTTGAAAAATTTATTAGGAATTGATCAAGGAAGAGAATAAAAATATAAATATCATAATTAATGAAAAACTAAGAGATGTGCAAGTCACTACATAGATCAATGAATTTGATTATAATTTCACCATCAAGTTATTATGGGATTTTAGCCATTAAGGTCTTATAATCAATCATGATGGTCTCATATTAATGCTGAAAAAAGAGGTGAGAGTGCAATTAACCGGAAATTTAATTTGTAAGCGATATGAGTGCATTGAGGGACAATGTTAAGTCAGGCTTATTTGCATAATGGATGGAATTTATTCCATTGATGGAAATGCTGGTTTTATATGCAAACTGACATTTCTTGAAAAACTCATCTTTCAAAGGGGGTAAAAAGGATATATAAGCACAAAGGTTAGAGAATTGTGATATTAAGAAAATAAGTGAACAACATTGATTAGGAACTTTTCCTGCTCTGACATTCTTTTTTTCTTTCCTTTTAGAAGTGATCTGATTTCTAAATTAACTTTGAGTAAATCATGAGCATTTTTTTTTCTTTTTCATCTGATATAGATTTCCATTTATAAGACATCATACAGTCTGGCGATGCTTGAAATTTTTTCCTCTCTTTTAGATTAATTTAAAAGATTTTTAAGAGTTTGTTCAAGACACATCTTCATGTTTTTTCCCCCTGAACTAATTTAAAAATGATATACTACTTTAGCCAATTATAGCCCAGCACGAAGCTGGATAATGGAAAAAATGAAGTACGTACAAAAAGTTTTGAGCAGAGTTGAAATCAGCATGGTAGCTGATGTTGGTGGAATTTAAATGTTGTAAAATAAATCCGATATAAAATTTGATGTCTGCATTATAATGCTCCCTATTATGCTTCTTCAGATACGAGCTCGGATTGATCGGATCCCGCTGCGAGGGGGATCTGAACGGATTTAGCTTTATCCGACAGGTCACTCATTTCATATTCATCCGAAGTCACTCTCTTTTGCATACTACTGTCATTCGTATTGAGATCCGAGGAAAAATTCTCTGTGGCGGAAAAAAATGCATTATCGTCCTCAAATGACTCGGAGGGACCTTGAAGTAATGCATCCTTATAACCAGAATCACTGGATGAAACATCTATTTGATTCAGACTCGGGGCTTTGTGGAGAAGAATGGATCCTCCCGCTTCACAGGAGTGAGGGCCATGTCCATTTAGATAATCGTTGTTTTGATTCCTAGCACAACACACATGTGGATGATTCAAGTCCACATCCGTTGCGTCTGTCATCTGTAGATTATAATTATCATCACCATAACACACATGATTTTGATCACACTGCTTGTTGGGGTGTATCCTTTGTTTGTCTTTATCCATAGTCACGTGATCAGGTTCCGAATCGGTTGAGCACTGCGACATTAAATGTTTTTTCCCAATGTAAGACGGTTTTTGACAATTCCTGGCCACTTTAGGCCGCGCCCCCGTACAAATCGTAGGGGGGTGCTGACTGAACGTGACCTGATGATGGTGGTGTCCATTACAGAGCTGAGTGGCACCCGGGCGGTGGAACTCGGGGTGGTGGTAGCAGGAACTGTGATTGCACCCCTCTTTATATAATCCATTATCACTGTGATCCGATATGTAATCCTCTTCTCGTTCATGTGTCAATGTATCACTGAAATCATAGTGGAAATGAGATGACATGCTGTCATATTTCCTTCCTGTCATTCTCTGGTTGTGATGCCAACGGATGCCAAACGGACAACGTGCCACTGCCACCACAATGAGCATAATGAGAAATAGAGCCAAAACGGCACCTATACTGCTGCCTACCGATATCGAGACAGGAATTCTCCAGTTAGATGTGGAGGCATCGATACACTCCCTTTCTGGCACTGTGTTATTTTGATATATCACCAAACAAATCTTATAAAATGTATCAGCCACAAGATTCTGAATATCATACTCGTTAGTAGAGGCAGGTAGTCGGGGGCCATATTGCACATATTTGCTAGCCTCCTTTTGGTAATGCACCTGGAAGGCCAGTATCGTGGATCGGAGGATGTTTTCGTGTAGTATCCCCCAGGACAGGTGGATGGAAGATGTGGTGGAGGAATCCACGTGGAGGTTGTGGAAGGCCGTCTCTGCGGAAGTCGTGGATAACGGCATCTTCCCCTCGAGGGTGGGCATTACACTGACAAACCCAGAGCTCTGTGGTCCAATCGCAAGCTCTGAAACAGTGAAAAAATAACCAGCTTTAGAGGATAATTCTAATAATGAAAATTTATCAAATACTGTAAACATACTTTTTTATGCTCCAGATCAAAAGATCCCAGGGGTATATTGTTTTTGTCCTGTCTGTCTGTTTGTCTGTCTGTTGTCAACTTTAAACCAACCTATAACTATTGCGCTGTCAAGGGTAAGTGTATACCACTTCAGTCTACATCTCACTTCAGAACTGTGGTACCATCCGGGCATAGTGATTCACAAACACATGATCTCTACAATCTACAGGGTCATAATTCCACAGAATCACAACTTCCACTCAATACCCAGGAATAAAAATATTATGGAAACCTTGATCAATGTACAAATTGGCTGGTGTGCCTTGATTTATGATCATATTGTAATATTCTCTTAAGGGGGCCGACTGGGGTTTAATTGTGTGAAAACTACAATAGCGAAACTCTTCATTTTTATTTCATATATATTAACTTATATTAAATTCAGTGTACATGCCAAGTTTGGGGGATATCTACCATCCAGGTATTTTTAAGGGACCGTCTCGAAATACAGGTACATTTACTACAGGATTAATATATAGGAAAATGCCAATTTTTAGCACTTTAAAGCAAATTATATAAATACTACAATAGACTTTTTATTCAAATTATAATATTTGATGACTTATACTATATTGTACGTTATAAGTAAGAAACACAAAATTCTACTGTTTAGTTACCTCAGGGGGCATCTCAAAATGCCAAAAATTAACGAAATTTCCTGTTTTTATAGAGTACTACAAAATATGACGGGCGCAAAGGATATATATGAAAACTTAATAAAATATTGGAGATATTCTCAAATTTCTATGTTTGAAATTTCAAGAGTGTATGTTTATTACTTTTTCTTAAATAACATTTTTTATCGTCCCTTTCTTTGAGAGCTTCAGTTTATCAAATCATCAAAACACACTGTAACGACGTCAACCTAGCTATCAATTGCAAAATCGGTTAAAAATCAGTTATATGTAATTGTAATTACATTTTTAAACCTGCAATATCTTAATTTTGTTTAATTTTATCAATTAAGTAAAAAATATTGCATTAAAACAGTAAATACCCTTCATTTTACTATGATGCGCGAAATATTGCGCAATGAAAACCACAGTCGGCCGCATTAAATTGATGTTGCTGTTTTAATGTATTTGGTAATCAATTTGAAAGATCCTTAATGCACTTGACAACTTTTATGCAATATTGTAAAAGAAATCTTTGAAGATAACAACAGCCAAAAAAAAAAAAAAAAAATTGCCACTTTGGTAGTCTAGCTCTTTTATTCACAAGATGTAAAATCAATGCAGCAAATTTTTGGTAGCACTTAGTTTCTCTAGATCTCTTGTTTCTTCATGAGATAATGCAGACAAAATATTGTTTAGTCCTTAGAAAATATGCTAGAAAAACACATAAAGGCATTTCAGCGAGTCAAAGTATAGTAAAACACACTTGGAGCAAAGTGCAAGTGAATATTTGCACGAACAATATCGATTTATTATTAATCAAACTTACTTATAATTTTATAATACATTTTTGAAATAACAAAGAAGAAAGCTTCATTGTTAACTTGAATTTATCTGGAGTTTTTTCACTTGGATATCATTCATAAATTGATTCAAAATAATAAAGGTAATTGAATCTTTTTGGACTCATTTATCACATGAGCCAAAATGAACTTTTTTAATCTGACATGTTTTTGGCTTCTGTCTCTGAAAATTTTTTCTGATTTTTGACTTTTTTTTTTCAAGAATCACTGGGCCAATTTCAATAGAACATTCCCCGAAGTATCCTGAATTAGTTTAAAAGGAAATAATCCATGCATGCATAAGGTGAGCGGTGCAACCATGATGGTTGTCACATTTATGGAAGATTGCAAAGGAAGGGTCCTTCACTGCTCAAAGACAATAAGTTCTATATTTACAGTTGTTATTGGTGTCCCATTTTATAAATGAAAATTTCTAACAGGGATGCTGATGCAAGTTTTTACAAATTTCACTTAACTAGAGCAGAAAAAATATGTTCTGCTTTTGTTTTATGATTCATATTTTGAAAAAAAAGAATTAATATTCACACAAAATTACTATTCAATGATGAAAGAAGGCAGATTTTAATTTTCATGGAACTTAAATTCAACTCTCTCAACTTGCTAATGAGAGCTGATGATTATTAGCTAGATTATTCATGGTAGATTTTTTTTTCTAAAAAGACTCATTAAACTTTGTTGTGAATCTTGGAAATGTTTTCTAAAGATTTCAAAAATATAAAGGCATGAGCAACAAGATTATCCTCTTTTCAACCCGAGGCAAATCCTGCAAGCTACAAGTACTTATTGCATCTGGAATGAGGGAATTGTATTGCTGTATTTTTGTTAAGAATTCTTTGACAATGGAGATACATCAGTATTAATTCCCACAGGAAATCAAATTACGTTAATGAAAAAAGGTGGTGACAGCACGTACGCTGGAAATGTGTTCAACTTTAAAAAAAAGGTTTATTGATTTCATGATTATAACATAATGTTTGTCTGCCAATTGTCATTTAGGATGTTTTTTTTTTTTTTTTAAAAAATGAAGGAAGCAGTCTGCATGATTTTGATATCAAAATTGGAGATGTTCTTTACACAAAAAATGAACTTAGTAGCATAATATTTAGATAAATTTTTAAAACAGATGGCATTGATGTGTAAGAAATTGGGTTATGATGTTACTGTGAGTTTATAGGTACATGCATGCACTCAAACAAGTAAGAAGGGAGGGCATATTGCTTTGCTGCTCTCTGTCAGCCAGTCAGCCTGTCCGTCAGTTCATCATTAGTTTTTCCGTTATTTTTCTTTGCGGAGGTTGCATATATTGAAATGAAATACAGATATTTCTTAAGAATATCTAGGTGAAGTTCTGTTTTGGGTACAATTGAGCCATTTTGGACAGAGTTATGCCCCTTGGACTTAAAAGAATTCCAATTATTTAGGGGTTGGGGATATAGTGTTTCACAAACATCTCTTGTTATCACATATAAGGCTTATACTGTTCAGACATTGGCAATTATAAGACATTTTTATGATAATGTACTTTAAGCATTTTTTAGGAATATGTTTTTTTGATTTGTGTGAGATATTGGTGTGTAAATCAAAAAGACTTGTCATGTAGGCATATTCCATGAAGTGCCTGTGTTAGCCTTTTACGTATTTAAAAGCACCAAGAATTTACTCAATGTTTAAATTACTTGATGCCCTATATTGTTCTATTTTTCTTAACAACTCTGTAGCCTCATTGTGAAAATACTAGCTTGTATTTTTATACATGTGAGTAGACATGGAAATGGCATTCAAATCAATATCATAAGTTGGTTAAGCAGGAAAAAAAAAACAGAAAATGTAAATATTCTGAATCCTTCAGTTGCACAACTGCATTGAATAGACATTTTGGCAACAGGATTTACAGCAAAACTTGGTTATAACAAAGTCACTGGGACCTATGAAATTACTTCGTTATATCCGTAATTCGTTATAACCGTATATAGAAATTAATTAAAATTATATGGCTGGGGATCCAAGATGACTTCGCTATATCCGTAAATTAGCAATATCTGTGTTCGTATTAAACAAGTTTTGCTGTAATAGTGTTATTTCTTCGGAAATAATTCTTATTCCTGAAATTGTGGCTCTGTTAAAGAGTTCTTAACGGTAAAATGTCACACATTCAAGGAATGATATTGAAATCATACATCTGTCACAGAAATGCAAACACTGCAGGTGACAGAACTTTATACATAGAATGTGACATAAGACAAAAAATGTGACTGACATTAATATAAAATGTGTGGGTAATATTTCTAGAAAAAGTACAGTTCCAGGGCAATGTATTACATATTATTGATCGATTTGGTGCTATTTTTTATTTTCTTCAGATGAAGAAAAAAATCCTTATTTTGAATTATATATGCTGACCACTAATTTTGTTCATTTAGCAGAGTATGATAAACAATCTGTGAATTGACTGTCTATCAGTCTAGACACTGAATTGACTAAGATGATTATATATCATGGGAAGAATTAAGAAAATAGAAAAATTATTGTTGGGAATTTTCCCGTATTTTCTTAAAATCCTTGCAGTTATCAATTTTAGTAAGAATTTTCTTTCACAACCTCTGAGCTACCCAAAGATTTTGAGATATGTGATTTTTCATAGCTGTTTGCACAATATATCCAAAAATGTTGATCTATATTATTTAGTACAAAGTAACAAACTACTAAATGAAATGCTTCATTTCCTCAAAAATTGTACCAAATTAATGACGTCATATAAATAAGGATGCCATTTTTCATTTATATTTCATCTATGATATTGTAAAGCCAATTTCAAAATTTTTTGCATTTGTTACACCTAACTGATTTATTGTCGTGGTTCATGTAGGAGTATGGTGACCCATGTTCGTACTGGTTATCTTGTATTACCCTTGTTTGCATTTTATTACAGTTACATTTATTTGTGTTTGTTTGTATACTGCACTGACCTTGTGCGACTGTTGTTAGTGTCTTTGGTATGTTAATTACTCGCCTGCATTAGAAGAAATACCTAGTTATTTTTTGTCACTACCAAATACTGTATAGCATATGTCACCCTACACCATGCAGTGACAATTGATTACACAGAATGGCACTAAGGGTGTACTCTTTAGTGGCATCTATGATATTGTCGGGCCCTCAGCTATAATGAGAGACCCAAACAAATATGGTGTACAAATTCATTTTTTACAGTTACAATTTGTGTTTGTTTTAACCCTGCTTGTGCGACTGTTCCAGTCATGGAAATCTTGCACAAGTAAGAACACCTAGTTAAGCCATAAATAGGTGTGCAACACAGCACACCATGAGAGGAGGGTATCGGCAAAAATTTCGTATCGCGATATATCACGATTTTTCCCCCAATCCCACCACCCAAATTACTAATGTCAGATGTTTTTACAATGATTTTCTTTGAAAAGTCATTATTTTTCTAAAAAAATATGCTATAAAAACAAAATTTTACTTTCTTGAAATGTTTATGCATATAAAATCAATTATGTTTAGACAGTAAGATGCCGTTCTTTTCAATTTTTACAACATTTTTTATACTTTCTATAATGTAATTTAAAAGATTGAACAAATAAATGAATAATTTCTGGACTTTATAATATGTACCTTAAGACCGGTATTTAGGTCTCCGTATCACGATACGTATCTCGCAACAAAAAATCGCGATATACCGGTATACCGATAAAATCGCACATCCCTACCATGCAGTGACAATTGATTACACAGAATGGTAACTAAGCTAGTGGCTCTATATAGGGGCCCTCAGCTATAATGAGAGACCAAACAAATATGGCGTACAAATTCTTTTTATGAATTGTGTTCAGCTTTAACCCTGCACATACTCCAGTCCATGGAAATCTTTCACAAGTAAGAACATGAAGCCATAAAGAGGTGTGCAACACAGCACCCATGAGAGCAGGGAGTTGAACCCATAGACCCCCCCCTCCCCCCAGCCCACCACCCAAATTACTAATGTCAGATGTTTAGTGAAACAGCAGAGCTATTCTTTTCAATATTCTAAGTATTGTATACATGTACCAGGTAATAGCCAATTTTTTTTTGCGCTGATTGTTTTTTAGCTCACCTGAGCCGAAGGCTCAAGTGAGCTTTTCTGATCATAATTTGTCCGTCGTCCGCCTGTCTGTCTGTCCGTCTGTAAACTTTTCACATTTTCAACTTCTTCTCAAGAACCACTGGGCCAATTTTAACCAAACTTGGTACAAAGCAAATATATAGGGGAATTTAAATTGTTTAAAATCTTCTCTCAAAAGGGGAGAGAAAAGACAAATTAGGGTGGGGTCATTAAAAATCTTCTCAAGAACCAAGAACTGGGCCAGAAAAGCTGAAACTTATGTGGAAGCATCCTAGGGTAGTGTAGATTCTAAATTGTTCAAATCCTGACCCCCGGGTGTGTTGGCGGGGCCAAAATGACCAAGCATAGTTTTACATTGAAATATATAGGAAAATAATTTTAAAAATCTTCTTCTCAAGAACTACTTGGCCAGAAAAGCTGAAACTTATGTGGAAGCATCATGGGGTAGGGTAGATTTTAAATTGTCCAAATTATGACGTACTATGGGGTCACAAAAGGTATTACAAGGGGGAAATCTAGTTAAGAATAGCATGGCCAAAGCTTCTTAGGTTAGCAATGTGGTACATTGGCCTCTTGTTTATTTAGTGATATCTTTACTGCAACTATACATATATCATCAGAAGTTTACTGTGTCATCAAGTTTGATGAATGTACATGTTGAATGAGGATTACAAAAATGATTTTTGTGAACTGCTGCAGATAAATGATATAGGATATTTAGTGAACACCCAGCCATGCAGTGTAATTTAAAATTTGCTATTTGTATCAGGGGTAAAAATCAATTATAGACAAGCTAAACTGCTAAAAGCATTGATTACACATGTACATATGTTTTGTTATATGTTTAAAGCTATCAATTGCCCCCTTCCAAAGGGAAGTAATCAAGAAAAGGCATAATAAGGAGGAGGGTGTTTCAAAAATCCTTTTTTCAAGAACCACTTTTTTGAAAGTTTGAATTCTAAATTCTTCAAAGCAATCCCCCCAGGGGGTTATAAGGCTGGGGCCACATAAAATAATTTTGTTCTTTATGTTAGTTATATTAAAGCAGTTCCATATTGTGTGTGTTTTTAGAGACAGTTTAGACCACCTTTTTTCATATTAAAGATATATTACACTCCATTAAAGATCTAAGTAGGAAAAGCAAGACTAAAGTTACTCAGGAGAGCACTGAGTGGTCTAAATGAGCCTGTTGTGATAAATTTGCTTATTATGGCAATATTTGTTTTTGTCTGACAGAATAGCCTTGAGGTGTTAATCATCTCCTCTAGAACGATAATGAGATCAAAATTTTGATGACAAATTGCAGCTTTAATATTTTCCGTCGTGACTTGATAATTTTTGCTTTGATCTTCAACACAGGAACAATTTTTTCTACCCAGCCTTTTAAGATGTGTATCACTTCTGCTTCAATTCCACTGATGAGAGGAATCATTATATTATTAAAAAAAAACTTGAAACATTTACACAACAATTTATAAATACAATGTACATATCACAGGGGCCGGTAACATATACTATATTTGATCTTTTGTACTCACTATATTTATATACATGCATACAAAAAGAGTATATATATATATATATATAGTGATTAGTACTTAAAATCTAATTTTGTATGTTACTGGTCCCTGTGGTACCTGTATAGGTAGAGATATATGAACTAGTTTTAAATGATAGCAACTTAATGTAACCAGCTAACTGCATGGTCAAAACGAAGGGGTAGTCACACAGGCACTTGTTTCGTATACGGGGTACCCCCTACTTATATATTTATATAAGTAGGGGGTACCCCGTATATGAAACAATTAAGTGCCTGTGGTCACACTGCATTAACTTTGAAGGAATCCAAATATTGATCATGATAACTTGCACTCATAAACGGCTTATACGTTTGATATTTGGTTAAGATTGATATGCACAGGGAATTGTTCAAATCTATATTCACAATTTCGGTATTTTTTATCCTCAGATTAGCTCTATATCTATATCAATTCAATTATGGGTAGCTTAGTAATTATATAAAAAATCATAAAAAAACTCTGTTAATGTTCTAGCTAGCAGTTATAAATGAAAGTCTTAGAATACAAAAAAATTTTTGCTATTTAAGAAGAATTATATATAAAAGACAATTTTTACCTGATTGTAAAAAAAGGATTGTGATGTAAACCTCAAGAAAATCCAGAAATGAAAAATAATCCCACTGAGAGTGATTGAATGAACATGTTGAGGTGAAGTGATGACACAAATCACATATTCATTGACAACTGGAACTTGGTAATTCCCATGACGTCTTCAACACTACAGAATCCTGAGACACTCTTTCATTAGAAAACGTCCTCCGTTTTTATTAATCTTTTTCTTTGTGGTCATATAAATTTCTGAAACACTTTGATGACGTCAAAAAATGTCTCCTTCGTTTTTGTTAATTTTTTGCTGTTATAAATTTTACGAGTCCTTTCAGAGTAATTCTTGCTGATGGAAAATTCTTCCTTCAGAAATGAGTTTCTCACTCTATCACATTTATCAATACGTTACTGCATTATGTCCTACTCCCTCCTCAACGATAGGAGAGAAATAAAAAAAAGGATTTGTTCCTAGATTTTTCCAGAGCTGATATTTTGTAGTAAAACTAAATCCCAGCTGCCTATGGAGATTGCTTACCACAAATTTTCTTTCATTAGTGGCTAAAGATTCCTTATTAACTTAATATAATCACCTACATACACATTTTCTCCTAGTGCTTTTATTACCATCTCCCATGACTGCGATTTTTCCTTTGTAACTAAGAAAAACATTTGTTGATAGCTCCTTATCAGAATTTCTACAAAAATGAGCAATTTTTCAAAACTCCGTCATTTTTTTTTTGGCTTGTCCTTGCTAACACAGGCAGCTTGTTTGCACTTCTGTAGTTATTACAATAATCCATTAAAGTCTGATCAGATATCGAAAAACTCACTCCACTTCAAAGACATTTCCCAGGTATGCATTCATCAATTTGTTCTTTTCATGTTTGAAACATTAACGGAGAGGAAACCATGGATCACAGATTCCGCAAAAATTTCCACACACCGACGCCAGGTGACATGTTGGTATCCGAACAAAAAGGTCCCCACACAAGTCTCCCCTCTCACAGCTGATGTAAAATATCTGTTTTTTGAATACTGCCAAGTCTAGTTATATTCCAGTGTGCACTGGTATACGTTAATTGTTTCCTGTCTATTGATCTAAAATGACAATATAAACTTTATATAAGCAGTTCTTCAGATATTGATTTTTTGGCCACACAAAAGCACTAAACAGGAACTTTTTATCATCTTTTTGGTCATATAGAAAGGCTTTGATCTGTTAGTAATATATATAATAAACATTAAGAAAAGTTTTAAAAGTTGATTGTCCTAATATTTTCTGTTAATTAGTCCACTAGATCAAAGACAGTTGATTAGGTTTTTTTTTTATGATTCTTTAATGTTCTGATTTGGAGTTCCAGGTTTAGGGAAGTCATAACGTAGTTATTTTAGCTTCTGCACCAAGTCTGCTAGCTGTCACATTTTGTTAGGCCACTGCCCACGTAGTCTACACCATGGGAAAAAGGAAAAAATCATTCAAGTATTAACCAATATGACTTAAATCAGGAAAGAAATTTTTGTTACCAATGAATATTTAAAACAGGGAATTATTTGGTCTTGGAATAATTATAAATCATGGATTTTCGTTCAATTCTGATATAAGGTGTTGCCAGTACCTGAAAACTACATTGTAACAAAAATTGGGTTTCAGCATACATTGCATAAATGAATTAATCCCATGTGGAAAAAGCATATCTGCAGTAATTCCCACTTGGTAATTTCACATTTTCGCACTATGAGTTGCAGAATGGTGTTATAATAAATTAAGATTTATAAACTCAGTTTGTACCACAGAGCATTTCAGAATTTCAAAACAGCAAGTCTATCAAAATAATTCAAAAATTTAATTAAATAATTTATTGAATTAATTTTGTAGTATTGAATTCTGAAATGCTCTCTGTAGTGCAAACTGTGTGAGTTTATAAATCTTTTACTATAGTGACACTCAGGAACTCAAAGAGTGAGACTTTCAGTTACAAAGTGGGAATTACCATAGCCATACCTTTTCTGCATGGAATAAATTTATGCCATATGAATGTTGACACCAAATTTCTGGGGAAATATCAATAATGTCACTGCAGACTTTTCTGTGGATTGAAGAGAAATTCAGATTTCAGATAATTATGGCCCAGAGGTGAAAATTCTGAATTATCATAGATAAAATTGCACATCCTATTGTGTTCATTTGCTAATTCAGTTTTGCAAAATGCATGATGCTCCAATTCATGGTATGTGTGAATAAGATGTAACTTTTCTATTAATTATATTGTCATAAATATGAAATACACTTATAGGTTTAATTTGAGAGCAAAAACAATAACAATTTTCTGTCACAAAGTATATGGATTTTGTCTACCAGTTAAGTTATTTTTGCCTGAATAATTTATCATCCTGAAATGAGTAGTACCTAACACCTATTGATTGAAATAAACCTGATCTCCGTAAACTTAATTCAATTATCTTTACACTGAGTAATATATAAATGTTGTTCTTGATCTAAGGTATATAATTATATATGGACCGATGAAGAACTTCGAGATATCTGCTAGGGTATTAAAAATGGGATGTCAAGGATCAAAATTTTCAAATAATGAGTGATTCAGGACATCCAAATGACTGACATTATACATTGTATCCATTGGTGGTATTGTGCAATAAGTTTTCTTGGAATTCTTGGGTACCCTATCTCATCCACAAATTATCATCCTCCATAAGTTAATAAAAAGGTTACAAAATCATATTTCCATCTGTAGGTATATATATGTAGGTAAAAAATAATATAAGAGATTATGCACGAAATTACATCCCCAAGAAGTTGTAGCAATAATCCATGAAAATTGGCCCCCTCAAATTTTGATGATGCCACCGGGACAGTATTGAGATATCAGTGCATGGAATTGATTGCTGATCAGTTATATTAGCTTTGGACATGAGGATGAGTGTATATTTTTTCCCTGCCTGACCATTAATTGTACATGTATTGTTTATCGTATGGTATCCCCAATGTATCACAAGTGTTATTGTTAGGAGAAGAGAAAATATTGTATAGTTATAGCCAAGATGTAAGTTAGAGGCATCTGTCCTTTGTTGTTACTAAAACCAATTTAGACTCTGCCCCCTGATTCATCTATGAAGGAAGAAAAATTATTAGTTTTCTATCTGAAAATGATCAGAATCTGAAGAAATTCTGCAGGTCTGTGTTAAAAAGACCTCACAGCGATTTGTGTTTTGTTTATGTTATTTTTCGAAGGATGGGGATTAGAAACATGTCTGCAAAGAGAAGAAAAGAGTAATACACAAACAGTCTGATTTATTGGTGAAAATGTCTAAACAATTATTCTAACATTTGCCAGTTGTTATCTGAATCATTTTGTAACTCTGCAATCTGCACTTCAGTTGATGGAGTAGAAATTAAAGGATATGATGGCGATATCTGCCGACTATAATAAGCTTGCGGGGAAATATTCGATATTTTTTGTAATTTTATAAATGCACATTAATATATTGACTATATATAAATGGATAAAAATAAATAAACATAAATCATTTGCTAAGTTTTTTTCATATATTAAGTTATAAACATTAGAATTTTTTATGTCCAATATGGCATTCAGTTTACAAAATGTTTTAAATGATGTAGGGAATGAAAAATCAACAGACATATAGATAGAGTAAAGAGATGGTTATGCATTATTCATATATTTTTTAGCTCACCTCGATCAAGTCGAGATGAGCTTATGCTATACCCCCGGCGTCGGCGTCCCGGTTAAAGATTTAGGAGCAGGTCCATTCCCAAGTAACTATAAGCCCTACCTGGACCAAACTTGCATGGATGATGCATCTAGGGATGGACACTACCAGACTTGCTTCAGATGCTGGATCTGACCTACATTTTTTAGATGAGTGACCAGGTAAAAGTTTTAGGAGCAGGTCCATTCCCAAGTAACTATATGCCCTACCCAGACCAAACTTGCATGGATGATGCATCTAGGGATGGACACTACCAGACTTGCTTTGGATGCTGGATCTGACCTACATTTTCCAGATGAGTGACCAGGTTAATGTTTTGGACTATGCAGGTCCATTCCCAAGTAACTAATTAGGCCCTACCTGGACTAAACTTCTATGGATGATGCATCTAGGGACACAGACTCTTAGCAAAATGAATATTTCAACAGAATTTAAATTACAAAGATACTGAAACATTATCATTTTTTTTAGCATGATTTTTCCTCCCATATTTTCCTATATCCAGTTCTGTTCCATAAACTTCCATTGAGATAATAATTTATTTAAGTTGAACTGCATATTCATTTAAAAATTTTCAATTTTTAATTTTCTCCATTAGTACAGGGGATATTTAACACAAAAAGCACAGTTGTAAATGGATGGAATATTTTATACATCATTAAAGTTAACTGAATAATTACCCTAATGTGTACCAGTACTATAAAAGTGAAACTTGTCTATAATAGAGACGGTATATTTTATTCTGAAATCTTGCCTATTACGATATTATAACTTTCAGCCCCTATCATTAAATTCAATTGTTTAAAAAAGATGTTTCTTAATCCAGAATAATTGTCTTAGTTCTGGCAATTTAATTTGTATGGAACCCGTAAATTGTCCAGAAAAACAAGTTTCACTGTATAATATTGAACAAAGTAATTTAGTACATGATAAATGTAATTCTTAAAAATAAATCTGACAACAATTTACCCTGCAGTTTTAAAATTTCTAGCTCTAAAAGCTATAAATGGATATAAAATGTGTGATTAAATTGGTATACTGTAAGTAAAATATACAAAAAATGAGGGAATTTTTAACATTAGATAAAAATAAATAGATAATAGTCAAAAACACATCATACAATATTTAAATTGAATAATTACATCATTAACTTTAGTCCTTGATATATCTTTAGAGGTGCTCTATAACCTGAAGAAAATTACAATGGGAATCTTTAAATTAAGGTTAATTTGGGAAAAAAAACAGACAATCATTTATTTAAAAAAAGAAAAAAAAAATTTATTATATAAGAACAGTGCATGAACAGTTATCATAAGATACGTGTATCTTAGACAAATTCCTGAAAGTAGAGTTATGGAAAACATAAATTTAACAAGAATTACTTCTTCTGGATAAATAATTTAATGAGTCATATTTTTCTCTATGTAGGGACTAGTCATCGATAAAAGAAAATTTAAATCACATGTATATTTGCATGTTGCTTTGCTGTGATCTGTAGTTGAATGCTTGTAAGTTCAAGGCAAGGGTGTCAGGCAACGACTAGTACGTACTAATTAAACACTTCTTGTAATTAGCTTAGGATCAAGAAGAATCACACACTGTGCCGAAAATCTGGCACTAAAAAATGAAATGCTGCTGCACAGATTTGGAAAACATACATACTCCTGATGAGTCTGAAAATTTTTCTTGTGCATGCATTCATTTTATATTTGTTTTGCACATTTTTCAGAGTAACAGAATTGCAGATAAAATGCATTAGAATTAATGTCTACAAAATGTATTTTTGTTCTAGCTCTCGATACTTAGTGCATTTTAGAAAAAAATCATGATCCCAGCTCAGGTATTCTATTAAAGCAACAAAAATGCATTTCTCTTAAAGAAAAGGGTTTTATAAATTATAAATTGTTAAAATTTTTGGATTAAGTAAATTCACACACACACACAAAGGAAATTAAATTCTACAAGTGTGATTTTTTTTCCAAAATAAGTAATATATGTGAAATTTTTGAGATGGCCCATTTTTAAAATGGATATTATATTAGATGTACTCACCACCATGTTTCAATGAAGAATCAGACCTGTCGAATCACTCCATTATATTTTTATTCTCTATCGTATGTATCTACATTGTTTTGAGCACACTATCAGGTGAGAACAACACAATGTTCTGTCTGGCTGTTTATTGCTTCTATACGGTTATTGGTAGGTTATTTATGGGTGTTAGCAAGAGGTTAATTAATACAACATCCTACAGAACAGCCAAGAGCTCAGGGTACACAGGTAATATGCCCAATGTTCAGAATTATAGGTAATCATGTTATGATGCTATGAGGATTATACGAGGTATTTATAGCTCAGTAAGGAGATGTAGGGAATCTCCAAATTAACAGCACTGGACTGTAATTAAGCAGAGATTTAATTGTTATGAAGCTAGAAAAATTAATTAAAAAATCAACAGATAGGCCTTACATCACCATCCGATATAATACTGTGTGCGTCAGGCACTTTAAGTGATTAATTCCTTTAAGGTTCATGATAGTTCTTTGGCTTTTTATAATTTCAAGTGCTAATGTTAAAGAGATTAAAGAATTATTATTCAAAGTGAAAAACAGATTTAAGTTCCTGAAGTAAAGTACAGTACATCAAATTTTGTGATGTTTTAAGTTCAGAATCATAACAACATATTAATTTAGTTATGAAATGTATTGCAAATATTTTTATAACCCTATGGACTTAAGATCATCGACATAAGTATCAATAACATGAAACATGGGATATATTAAGAATTTGATCAAGCTAGGAACTGGTAAACAACAAACATTTAAAAGGATCCATCAGGACAGAGGTAAGGATAAGAAAAAAAAGGATAGTATAGAGAAAGCCAATGATAGGATAAAGATAGACTAAGATAGGATGAAATAGACTAGGATAGGATGAAGATAGACTAGGATAGGATAGAGAGAGACTAGGATAGGATAGAGATTGACTAGGATATGATGGAGATAGACTAGGATAGGATGGAGATAGCCTAGGATAGAATGGAGATAGACTAGGATAGGATGGAAATAGACTAAGGATAAGATGGAGATAGACTAGGATAAGATGAAGATGGACTAGGATACAATTGAGATAGACTAGGATAGGGTGGAGATAAACTAGGATTGGATGGAGATAGAGTCAGATAGGATTGAGATAGACTAAGATGGGATGGAGATAGACTAAGATAGGATGGAGATAGACTAGGATAGGATGTAGATAGCTTAGGATATGATGGAGATAGACAAAGATGGATGGAGATAGACTAGGATAGGATGGAGATAGACTAGTATAGGATGGAGAGAGATAGACTAGGATAAGATGCAGATAAGACTAGGATAGGATGGATATCGACTAGTATAGGATTGAGATAGACTAGCATATGATGCAGATAAGACTAAGATAGGATGGAGATTGACTAGGATAGGATGTAGGTAGCTTAGGATATGATGGAGATAGACAAAGATGGATGGAGATAGACTAGGATAGGATGGAGATAAACTAGTATAGGATGGAGAGAGATAGACTAGGATAAGATGCAGATAAGACTAGGATAGGATGGATATAGACTAGTATAGGATTGTGATAGACTAGGATAGGATGCAGATAAGACTAGGATAGGATGGAGATTGACTAGCTAGGATAGGATCTGGATAGACTAGTATAGGATGGAGAGATATAGACTAGGATAAGATGCAGATAAGACTAGGATAGGATGGCTATAGACTAGTATAGGATTGAGATAGACTAGGATAGGATGCAGATAAGACTAGGATATGATGCAGATAAGACTAGGATAGGCTGGAGATTGACTAGGATAGGATGGAGATAAGACTAGGATAGGATGAAGATAGACAAGGATTGGATGGAGGTAGACTAGGATAGGATGGAGATAGACGAAGGATGGGATGGAGATAGAATAAGGGTAGGATGGAGATAGACTAGGAATTGATGGAGATTATAGACAAAGAAAGGATGAATATAGACTAAGATAGGATGGAAATAGACTAGAGTAGGATGGAAATAGACTAGAGTAGGATGGAAATAGTCTAGGATAGGATGGAGATAGTCAAGGATAAGATGGTGATAGACTAGGATAGAATGGAGATGGACAAAGGTCTATTAAAAATACTCTATTCTTCTTCCATGGGAAGATGAAGTTGAAAAATTTCAAAGAATCTGATAGGATGGAGATAGACTAGGATAGGATGGAAATAGATTAAGATAGGATGGAGATAGACTAGGATTGGTTGGAGATAGACTAGGATAGGATAAATGTAGCCTAGGATAGGATAGAGATGGACTAGGATAGGATGGAGATAGACTAAGAAAGGATGGAGATAGACTATGATAGGTTGGAGATTGACTAGGATATAATGGAGATAGACAAGGATAGATTGGAGATTGACTAGGATAGGATGGAGATAGACTACGATAGGATCAAGGTTGACTAGGATAGGATCACAATAGACTAAGATAGGATCAAGATTGACTAGGATAGTATAGAGATAGACAAGGATAGGATGGAGATAGACAAAAATAGGATGGAGATGGACTAGGATAGGATAGGGATAGACTAGGATATGAAGATAGACAAAGCCCCCTGCGAAATGATCAAGAATAATTCTTGAACTTTTAAGAAAAGTTCATGAATTATATTCTTGAATCAGCTCTTGAATTGTTCATGAAGATCCCATGAAGTTAAAATTGGACACTCATGATTTCATGGATTTTATTCATGAAAACAAAGTTCAAGAATATTCAAGAATTATTTGTTGTTCATGAACAAACTTGGATTTTTTGAATACCCGCAAAATGATCAAGAATAATTCTTTACATTTCAAGAAAAAATTCATGAATTATATTCTTGAACTTTCAAGAAAAGTTCATGAATGATATTATTAGGTTCAATGCATTTTTATGAACTATTCATGAATAATTTGTAAAAGTTATTTAGAAATGTTCATGAACTATTCATGAATGTTCTTGCTTTTTGTAAACAAAAATGTAATAAGTTATGCAAAATGAAAAACTGTAAAAGAAAGTATTTTAACAGCATTTTGAAAGATTTCACAGAATTTTTGTTTTCCAATCATGGTAACAAAATCTTTGTTCAAGTAAACAACTCTGATAAGTGACAACGATAATAAATAAATTATGTAGTTCATTCCTAGTAGAATTATGAAAAATTTCAATTCAAAGGCAACTCTTTGCAGAATCCTTAACCTTACTTGGTCAAGAGGAGAGTGGGTTCCTTATAATATTCAGCGTATTTCAAAATGTATGCCTAAAATGGAATGATTTTTAATCCAAATCTCACTGTCTGGCAGAAAAGTGTGTTCAGCAATTAGGGCATCAGCTAAAAAGGGCTTTCAAGGATTTTGAGCAGAGGTGGTCAAATAAAAAAATCTTATTGGCTTTCCCTGTGGAATTTTTGGAATTTCATCACTTGGATCCTTTGATAGATTACGATTCATATTTTCATTCCTTTCTTTTCTTTTTCTTCAAAAGCCTGGATTTTTTATATTTTTTCTTTTGGCAGCCAGAGTTTTTTAATCTGATGATCTCAACTCATCAACATTATCTGTGAACTGCTTCTCTTTTCCCTACAAGAACAAAAGATTTTTTGAAAATGCTCATAAATGTGAAAACTTAAGACTTAATTTTTTTTTGCATATTTGTTTCATTTAATTCTGCATCACAGGCACTGCCATATTTTAAAGCATTCTGAGTGGGAGTTTAGCCTGTTTCCCTTGCCCGCCATGTTCAAGATGTTAATATAGGTGAACAGGATGAATGTTTCAATCTTTAATTATTAAATGCAACGTAATTTGGTTGGATCCTTACTCACAGATTCAGCGATTGCCTCCATTTTTTTGTAACTCACCACTAATATCTGCAGTTATGAAATAAATTGATCCTCTGGATATTCCTTCTTCAACTTCTGTTATTTTCTTCAAAGGTTGACAAAGAATGACTACGCTAATAATCCTCCCACTCTACCGATTCACTTTCCAACGTCTCGCGCGTTTCAAAGTTTGCGCCTTTTAAAAAGTGTCATGCAGAGCTAATTAAGAAATAGTTTCGAATTGCCAAGATTTTTGTTAAACAAAAATTAACAAACACTATCTGACGGATTTTTCACTGAAATTAATTTTTTTAAATTAATATAAGTTATATCATTTATTAAATTGAATCTTTTACATTATACCTGTACAGCCATAGTTTCGTATTCAAGTATGACCGCCTCCATATCAGAGGACATCAAATATCTTTTGGAACCACTCACCCTCAAACTGAGTACTGTTGCCGCCCTGAGCTATGAGAGTGTAGAATAGACTACAAAATACGAATGTGGTTCATGTCATAGCTTCTTCACAACCATACAGCCTGTGCTGTATCATTTACACACGATGGACAGAAAAATGTGACTTTATAACTGCATCAAAAATTAAAGCTTTTCGACCCAAGAATGGTACGGTACAGTACGGACAAGAGATATAATTTTTCAGTTGTCAATAAATTTATGATACATTTTTACGAAGATTATGAAATTTTTCCTAGACTGTAAGTCTGTTTCATTTTCTTACAACTTGTTAAAAGTTTGACAAATAGAGAAAATTCGGTCGAACAAAGTTGTGTTGTGAAAAATGAGATAATTTGAAGCACAATATTAATATAGCTGGCCAATTTAAATGATAAAGAAACATCAGTAATTCAATATGAGAAAAAAATGCTGTCAATATTGATGCAATGTCCTTTAAATTAAGGTCATACCCGGTAATTTAATTATAATCTCCCTTTTAGACAGTTAATAACAGAGTTTTTTTTTATCCTGAAGAATCTAAGTTATCAATTACATAGAGTAGAAAATAGTGATTTTAACCTCTTATGTTCCCCTACTCGGCTCTGATCCCATACTCTCAAAATCAAATCAAAAGCATGTTATTAATCAAATCAGGGGCTTGTTCAACAATTGCATCTGCATGCAAAAGTTGTATTATGGGAGTAATGATCGAGTGTTTTCTGGCGATCGTTTGTGACAATTATTTTTACATTTTAAGTCTTCATGAAAATTCATGAACATTCATTACCTTGAACTATTAAGTTTTTTTCTTTAAACTGAAAATTACCAATATTCATATTTGTTCATCATTTGTTCATGAACTATGAATTATGAATGTTTTCATGAACTTTATTCATGAACTACTTTTATGAA